AGTAACTGCTACCTGAGAATTAAGACGATGGTGCCATCCTTCGACCGAGTTAGTTGTTCTTGCGCCATCGAAATTATAATAGTTCCAAAGTTGTTTCTCAAACATTGCTTCGCTGTTGTCTATCCATATTTCCGTGATGTAATCAAAGAATAATACGATGTTCGGTATATCCGAGTAATCATCCATTATGTTGCACCATAATTCGTCGATTTTATCTAAAGGCATAAACGCTAGAGCAGCAACACGCTGATACAAAGATTTTACGGTTATTAGATCATTATCCTGAGCCTCATAAAACGCTTTCTGAAAACCTAGTTCCTGCAATTTTTTGAACAAACAATGATTAAAATGAAAATTACATTCTTTTATAATTGAATTGGGAAATACAAGTTTCAGTGCATTTATTGCTCCACGCTCGAAGTCTAACGTTATAAATTTTGGATTCAATAAAAGATTATTTCTAACTGTTACATTTCTAACCTCATTGAATAAGGATACGTACGTGCTTTTGTTTTTATCTGGTAATAGTGTATAAAGTGCTGGAATTGTACCTTTCAAAATCGGCGATAATGCGTGAATGGAATATACCTGTGCAAGACTACTATTATCGATTACTAAAAAATCTTCATTGTTAAGTGTTAATCGCCATGAACCTACAATTTAAACGTTAATTTAATCAAAGTTTCTAAGATCATCAGCTGTCTTATCCTCGAGTTTTACATCGTCAATGGATTTCGGTAATGGTGGATATTTTTCATTTCTTGTCCGATATAAAGAATTCTTAATTGTATCGAATTGTGGTAATGTAGACACATTATCTGGACTTGTTGTTTGAATCTTCACTAGTTCCGAACGAAACAATTTCCTGACCGATACTGGTTCTTCCCGGATACGTCGTTTCAAACTTGTGCGAAATTCCTCTCGCTCATTTCGCTCTCTATTCAGTTCATGGTTATGCAGTGTTGAAACAACTGGGGGTTCGGATCCTCTTTGAACAGCACGATCATTGCAGGTTGAACGATTTTCACAATGCCAGTACGTGTTTTCATTTCGCACTCGGTCTTTTAAGTACCGATATCCTAAAAATAACAAACAAGTCTTACCTCTCTCTGTTTCGACAATTGAATACATTATTTTTAAAAAGTTGAGTAAGTTACGAAAAATACTCAATAATTTTCTGTTGTAATCAGATTCAGAAAACTAAACGTATTTATACATCTCGCACTGTTTTAAGAATGCATCGTTTTATAAATATCATTAATTATAAAGCTGGTTGATTAATTTCTGCTCTTGATTAGAAATAAATACTTACTATTAGGAATTATGTTTTATTGCATATATATGAATTTGTCGACGAGTAGGGAATTTCAATTATATTTTATTAATTTGTCGACGAATCGGGACTGAATCTCTATGACTATGCTTTAATGCTGTATAACATTTTTTAAATATTATTTAAATCTTTATTTATGGTATCGTCCCGGTTCGTCGACAAATAGGACACTTCAGAGAATATACATCAAAGAATTTCAAAGGCGGGGAGGGGGCGGTGTGAGAGTGAGTGTCGACGAATCGGGACTGAATCTTTATTTATGACTTAATCTTAAAGATCAAGTGAATTTTTGGTTTATGTCTAGCAATGCATTATTTAACACATTATGATAAATCCAGGGAGAAATACCCTCCAATTTTGCTGCACACACTTCGAAGTGTCTCTCACTTGAAGTGACACTTACGAGGGAACCTTTCGAGATGTCCCCTTCCGATTCCAGCGATTTGTACATGGATCGATAGACCTCAGTGCGGTA